AGCCCAGACATTTGGAGAACATATATAGCAGTACAGTTGTACTATTCATGGGTCAGTAACTGAATAGGAAATTGGAAGAACTTTTCTAGGCTTATGATGAATACAGAGCACAATAGAGGGACAATATGAACTGAGACTAAAAGTCTCTTTATAGTGCTCACATTTCTTCCAAAGCATCTACGTCACAGCAGTTTCCATTCATCCAGGCACAATGGAGCAGCACCAGACTCAATCTACAGCTGAAATAAGTGACTGAAATGGCATTAATAGCGAGTTTTGTAATAGCAGTTGACAACAGATCAAAACCTAATGATTTTTGTGACTAATTCATCTGTCTAAACTCCCTGATTTGTATAAGTGTATAAAATTTTTTCTAACTTTTCCTGTTTCTTTTCAAAACTTTGGACATATTAATGCAGTTAAGATCCCATAGCCTGACAGGAGTGCAGGAAGTATAAGTGCATGGGTCATGAGGTCTAATCCCCTGACGTTCTAGACTCATAACACATTACTCCTCCTAAGCCATATAAACAGGAATCTAAAAATGGAATTTTCCTGAGATGTCATGAAGATTTTTCAAAACCTCACTCCTCAGTTTATTGCAAACAACTTTCTGGCTTCCAGCCTCAGTTTATGTAATCCTAGTCAATATTTGACTTATGCTTATATGTAAATTTGCATAGGTACCAGAACCATAAAACACACCTGCTGCTGATTTTTGAGCATCCAAGAACAGTTGTAACTCAGCTTTAATCCTTTAAATCCATTATTCTGTTTGAAAGCATTCCTCTAAATTCAATATTTCACTGCAGTGAAGCCAGAAAGGGTTGTAAAGTATCTTCGTACTGGATTTCATGAGAGGGGGACAATAAAATAAGAGATCTCTTGGTTTAAATTAAGATGCAGATTTTGGAAGGGGCTGAAAGAGTGGGAAAACCTCAACATATCTATGACACAGCCCTGTCAGACTGCCCGTGAGAGGGGAACTGTGTGTGAGGGCATCAGCAGACTTGCTGAACCCTCTGTGGGACATGGGATTCCCCATGTGTCTTGGCTTGCAAAACAAGATGTTAACCAAAAGCACGTATTCTATCACCACCTGTTAAACCAGGTGGGGTAGTGTTCTTTATCTCCAGAGGGAATATCTTCTGTTAATAGACCATCTGTTAAAACCAGCTGGGGCAGTGTTCTTTATCTTTTCCACAACCCATCCTTCCTTCAGGAAGATATCTTCTGTTAATGGGCCACTGAGTCCCACTGCACGACTGATTAAATTCCATCATCCCACTGGGAGAAGCTCCAGCCAGGGGGAGGAGCCAAGCCTTTCCTACCTAGAAAATCTGAGATTTGGAACACCAAGGCAGCCTTTTTCCACTGGATTCCAGAGGAAAACCAGACCTTTCCACATCATCACTGGACCTTTGGAAGAAAATTGTGCCCTTCTACAGGAGCACTGCTCCAACTGAACCACAGCTGTCACTGCAGGAGGATGCAGCCACCATTTAATGGGACTGCTACCAACACCCTGACTGACTGACAGAGTGTCAGGTTGTATTCTGACTCTGTCAGTGTTTTGGGTTTGTTCTTTTGTAATACTGTATTTCTATTTTAATTTTTCCTAGTAAAGAACTCTTATTCCTATTCCCATATCTTTGCCTGAGAGCCCCTTAATTTCAAAATTATAATAATTTAGAGGGAGGGGGTTTACATTGTCCATTTCAAGAGAGGCTCCTGCCTTTCTTAACAAACACCTGTCTTTCAAAGCAAGACACCATGGCAGCCCCTTGTAGAGGCACCAGGCAAGGCCTCCTCTGGGGCTGGGCATGAAATATCCAAGAGGCAGGAGCAGTGCTTCAGCTGGATTTTTAGCTTTGCATTCAGTCAAAAAGGGGAATTATAAATAGAAACCTTAACTGAGATGTTTCAAGTCAGACAGAAATGGACTAGACCTCAATGATAAAAAAAACCCCAATATTGCCTGTGTCTTTCAAGCTGCTCTCAGCTCATGTTTGGGGCATCAGGACAAGCAACCAGAGCTATACATTGATCAAGGTATATGCTGGTCTTTTAAAAGATTGAAAAAAAACCACCCTACTTATTAAAAATATTAATTCCATATGTTTCATGACAAAAAGGTACTTTTAAATGTCTAAATTCATAAATTATTGTCCTAACCCAAGAAACAGGATGTTATGGCCTTCAAAGGCAAAATGAAAATTATTTTCAAAGATGTTGTGTATTTGAGGGAAACAGTGGTTTTCTTTTTGTTTCTGTTGTTGAGTAATAAAGTCAAGTGTTTTCTGAAACAGGCCATATGATTTTGGTACTTATCTGAATTACAGAAGTTATAATCTGCAGGAATGATTAAATTGTCCAATTCATCACCTGGCTAAGACACAAACATTCTCTATAGCACAACTTTGTGTATTGCTCAGATTATGTTTTAATTTTCAAATTGCTTCTCATGAATGCAGTTTTGTATAACAAAATGTCCCCTTGTAGTCAGGATCCATTATTAATTATACTGTTATAAACTTGCTTACTGATTCCCTCATTATTACCCTCAGTATTTTTTCATATCCTACAGAGACAGGCAGGCAAAACCCAAGGCACTAATTAAGAGCAGGTGAAGAATATAAGCAGGAAACCAGGGATAAGCAGTGGCCAAGGGCTATTACTAAATAAAGCCTTTCTGAACAGAGAATTTCACAGCTTAATGGGATTGTGTTTAGAAGCTGTTTCAATTACGAAGGCACCAACTGAGAAATCCAGACGGATTTCAGCATAAAGCACAGTGCTTCATTTTGATTTCTGTTGTCTTCCAAATCCAATTTCCATATTTAATGGAATATCCTAGGGAAATTTGTAGCATATTACATGGAAAATATTTATTTGTCCTGTTGTGAAAAATCTATAACTATTTTGATGCAACGCATAGTTATTTAATGGTTTGAAGCAACATAACTTACTTATTAAATGGTTTGATACAATAAATCAACCTAAATTGCATGTCAGCCAGCTCATAATATATCCCAGTCTATATTAAGAAAAGGATATTGAAATATAGTTGGTTGTAAATAATAGGACTTAACTAATAGGTAGCATTTTATTTCATTCAGCTAGACACATATGGTTTGATTATTTAGGACTTTTTAAACATTGTACAGGGAGCCCATTTGCAAACTGGAATGACCTGTAGCTTGCCACAGTGACAGCTTTAAAAAAAGTCACCCCCAAACTGCACAGACAGGGCAGTGTTGCAGGGGGCAGACACAGGCTCTGCTCAGCAGGGTGTGGGGGATGGATGATGCTGCTTTTCCTGAGCGTGGGCTCTCCTGAGCACCCTGCTCCTCCTCACGGTCTGTGTCAACACTCTGCCACCTAAGGGCTGACCTCTGCCTTGGTACGAGCAGAACTGGGAACAGTGCTGGGAATGGCACTGGAACTGGGAGATAAATGGGAATTTGGCTGATGCACTGCCAGGGGAAAACAAGTTGTTCTCTGGAAGTAACCTCATTCTACAATTCACACCAAACTGAAACACACGCACAGTTTTCAATACCTTTTCTCTAACTGTCTGCTGTAGATCTTTGGTTCAGTTCTCTTACAGAGAAGAAGGAAAGAGAGATGGTCTTTCTGACTCTTCCACCCTCCCATCCACTGATCTCCTTTACCTTTTCAAGTGTCCCAGTTAGAAGCTCCCTGGTGCAATCAGAGGAAAAGGAGTGTATGTATTCACAGTTTGTTCTGTATTCACAGCTGCCTGTGGGCCACTGGGTATGAGTACAGAGCTAAGAGATTCCTGCAGCTGGTACTGCCCAGTGTGACCATGAAGGAGTTGTCAGAGAAATGTTTCCCTCTTTAAGCTGTTTCTGAAGTGCAGACTCCCTTATTCTTCCCCTCCACAGTATACTGCTTTTATTCTGGAGATAACCATTCCTCTCATTATCCAGAACTTTTGTAAGGGACCCATTTCTGCATTTGAGAGGTCTCAGACTAGCCATGGAAACCTGCAGGTGCTGTTGCCAGAATGGATAGGAACCTGTCCAGTGTCCCTGTTCATCTGCACCCTGGCTGTCCTGCATGTCCAGGCTCATCAGCTCCAAAGCAGCTCATGCAGAGATCAGGGTGATCTGGCTGCCCCCTCAGCTCTGAGAGAGGGAGGGCATGCATGTGGGCAAGGACACTGAAGTGCTTTGTGGATGTGCTGTTGGCTGCCAAAGGGTCCAGACTGATGCAGCTCCTACAAGAACTCACATAAGGTGGGAGAGGATGAGAGCTCAGGTGTCCCAAAGGCTCAGAGGAGCCCTCTGGGTGGTGTGGCTTCTGTGATTCACAGACACTCACACGGAAGGGGATGGACTCTCTGGTCCACGAGAGACACCAGAAAAGGCTCCATCCTCTGTCCCTGCTCGGTGCCACTGCCAGGGCAGGGATTGCCCCAGGAGGTGCCACCTCCTCCCCCATATGCACTCCCCTCTCTCTCTGCCCCCATCAGCAGCACAGTCAGTCTCTTCCCTGTGCCCATTCCCATTACAGGTACAGAAATAGATACATAGCTTTTAGGGAAAAAAAAACATGATATATGGTGTTGCCTCTACAGGAGAGACTTCACAGCTTTCCTTTGTTCTCACTGCATTATATTTTACTACTGACAGACACCTGTAATTCTGACAGATTACTGGTTTTGAGTGAACTGTGATAAACCAAAAATAGCTGCTGGCCATGGAGATGGTGTCATACATAGCATAAGGGATCACCTGGTTCTGCTCTAGCTGTGTGCCATTCTCATGTCCATGTAAGCACATCTAGGTTACAGAAAGCTACACTTGCCTTAGTGAAGCTAGGAACTGTTTTTCTTTAACATGTGTGTCTAACAGCTCCTGAATTAAAAAGTAAAATCCTAACTCAGCCAAATCCTCCAGCATGGCCAAGACCCACTGAATCAGTAAGAAAACGGCATAATTGTAAACAATTTTAAAAAAACATAAATAACAGAATTTTTGTGCAAAACTTTCAAAATTTTTATTCTCTGATTCCTCTTCAGTCCATTATAGTGTTGTTGACTATTATTATCTGTAACAGCATAAAGATGTAAACACCTATTTGTTCACAGCTTTATATATAACATCTCAGAGAAGGCTGTTAGGTTTGTGACATTAAAAACTGAAACCAGAAAAGAACAAAAGAGCTAAACCAGAATAAAACTATAGTGAATGAAATCTATTATGAAATCTATTTACACACATTAATCTATACAACATCATAATCTGTACATTTTGTAAAAAATAATCACATTCATTTACATCATCTTTAATTTTTACCATACTTGACAGATACAAAGTTATAACAAAGAATGCAAAAGAGAAATACGAAGTAATATTCATACTAATGTGCCAGGACAAAAAAAGCTGCAGGTAATCATAAACGTATTACAGTGCTTTGGGAAATAGAGGGATTTGGGACATTTCGGTCACTTTTTTTAGCTGACAATGGAAATGTTCCTGACTTAGATTTAACTAGAACCTGCTATGGTTGGGCAGAACCAGACTCAACACAGAGTGGTTAAAATATATCACAGAATGCTCCTTTTAAATGTTATCCTGATGTACTCTTGTGACATACATGTCAGAACGCTTTTTAATTTTTTTTTCAGCAACAGAATAGCACTGCATCCTAACTTCTGTATTTGGTCATGTCAGGTGGTACTGGCAGCCCACAGCTGATATAGGCACTCATGGTAACATGAAGGTACTTCTGTTGGTGAAGGTATTTCCGGGATCACTATGCACAGACAGTAATTGTTCAGACAGTGACCCTTATACACATAGCAGCTTTGTCTGCAGGTTACTTGCCAGTTCTTTCTTTTTGTCAGACATATTTAGGGTTTGACTTTTCCTTAAGGATGTCTGAAAAAAGTCTGTATGGACTGAATTTGGACTTTATCCCAAACCACTTTGCTGAACTGGGCAAAATCACAGTTAACAGAAGATGAATTTTTTAAAAAATAGAGGAAAAATTATGCAGATGATTCATCTTAGTCTTTGCACACAGACTATGTGACACATGCACCTGGCAATTATTTCATCAATCTGCCCCAGACAGAGTCTCTGGTTTGCTGAGGGTCTCTGCCTGCTGCTTTCCCCTTTGGCATGTTAAAGGCAAAGGGAAGCTTAGGGTGAATCAGGACATGAAGCAGATGCTACAGAGTGGGGTAGGATGGCTCCAGCTTGACTGTAGAAAGTTTTTTGTAATGCTATTTGCCACCGATTATCTATTACTGCTACAGTACAGTCCCATAACAAGCTTAGACTGGGTATTCCTCAGCTGGCTACCTGCAGTAAAACATAAAGAAAATTTTGGGTACTGTAAAGCACTATTTTTAATCATATGGCCCCCCTACAAAAGGCAAAAAGGCCAAACACCTAACCCAAAACAATAAATATTTTTTTGTAGCTGAGGCCAGGCAAATCAAAATGGGACATAAGGCTGTGGGCCTTATCATGGCAGGCAGGGACACCTGACCAAATGTTGGAACCCAAATGTTGGAAACCATGGGTGCAGCTTACCCAGTACAACCAAATGAATTGTGGAACCTGCACTGCCTGGGCTTTTGAATTACACTGCACATTTCTTGGAGGATAAGTTTGGCCAACCTAAGGTAATTGGCTTAAAAAGGAGTATCTGTGTAATATTACCCAGACAGTTTAATGATCTCTTCTGGAGGGATACATCTTACCTGACTCTGTCTATGGAGTGAGAAATCTAAGTACTAGCTTCCCCTGGCTCATTTTATAGTAAGTTCAGAGAAAACTAGGTCCAGCTTACCTGCCTTAGATGCCCAGCTGAACATGGAAAGAGTCATCTTCAATTAGTGCCTATTTCTCTATGAAGACTGTGAAGGCACTTTAAAAGTGTCTTTAGCTCAGAGACAAACATGCAGCTTTTAGACACCAAAACCAGGACAGAAGAATTTCACCTGGATTTATCAAGCACCCAGCTGAAATCGACTCTGCAGAGGAAAATTTAAGTCAGTGTCCATGTATATTTTGTAATTGTGGTTAGTAAGTGGAGAGCAAGCTGTCACTGTGCTCCTCAGGCATCAGCAGCAGGTAATGCTGACAGAAATCATTCAAAATTAATGGTGCTTCCACGGGAGGTAAAACACAACAATCAAACATGGTGCTGGTAGTGAGCTCTATTACCATTCTTGTTCAGTAAATACAAGCTGTGCTACTGGCTTTTTAGTGGGCATGGACAAAAAACCCCAGGTTTCCTGCCTTGAAGACTTTACAACTCAGTTTGGACCCTGATGCAACTAAAGGGGAAAAGGCATTAAAGTAATAAAGAAAGGGAGGTGCAGGGAAAGGTCACCCTTGTCTTGCAGCCTCTCCTTCCTCCCCTGATGCTGCTAGGACTGAGTGAGAACTGGGATTAGGGATGACAGAAGGCCAAGTGATTTTTCATTCCATTGTCCTTTAGAGTCACCACAGCACAGAGCAAGAGCATTTAATCCCACACTCCTCAGCAAAATGCAATGAAAGCCAAAGCCATGAGAAGCTGTCTTGTTCTGGGTGTTGTAAAGATGAAAAACATTGATCAAGTTCTACATTTGTCAAACTGTTCTGCACCTTTTACAGACATTTTTATATCATGTATATCTGTCCATGAAAAGGCAGCTGAAAGCCAAACTGGTGATGATAGGGTTGGTGCTGTGACTTTGCAAAAAAATATTTGGAAATCAGAAATTTTCTGGGAGTAAAAACAAGTGAGTGCAGTACCCTGTGTGTCTTTACTGCCATGATAAGGCTTGCACAAAGTATTATGAAGTTACACTGTCTCACAAAACCGTATCTAGATTATCTTCATTTATATTATTAATAGAGGGATAAAGTTCTCCAAAGTACTGTACTTTTCACTGGTTTGAAAGAAAAATATATACAGCACTTCTCTCTCCTGTGTGCCATTCTTTGCATATCCACATTGTCCTTTACAAAGTTAGTGATACCTCTATGTTCTCTCACTGCAAATTTCTTGTGGCATTTCACCCTACATGAAAAGTAGAACCAAGCCCAAATGCATCTGCACCATCTGTAAAGGAAACAATGATGGTTTGTTTCAATATAAAATGTATTTTCTTACTAAGGCTTTTCTTTTTAATAACCCAGGAATAATTAAAATGCAGATTTTTTCCATGCTCACCTAATTAGAACAAAGACAGTTTTCTCTAAGATACAATGTGTTATAAACACACATAATTGGTGATGTATCATGCAGAACAGACTGATGGAAATGATTGCCTGAAACATCTATTTCTGTGCTATCATTCTGTCTGTGTGTCAACTTGCTCACATAACCTCATTTGAGCAAAAAGATGAGCACACTTGAATGCTTGTCACATGTGCCTTTCTACCCTAGAAATTAAGGGGAAAAAAAGAACATTCTGCACATCATATCTCAGGGAACTGAGCAGTCCCAGTGCCACTGCAGACAAAAAATCCTAATGTGGACAGATGTGTTTAATTTAGATGTAAAAGCAGCTCCCAAAGCTCCATTGGGTCTTCATATGTTTACAGTTAGGAGCTTGTGATAAGTTTTTCCAGAGATCCAGGAAACATACTAAATTTTAGCAGTGCTTCCTCAGTCTGAAGTCTTTAGGAATATATTTAGTTTAAATACATGTGTAGGGGCACATCATTAGACCCCATGGGAATGTCCTTGGGCAGCCCACTTCCATCCAGAACCTCACAGTTACTCTGCCAAGCAAAAAACATTATGAATGATCTGGAAGTGATCAATGGCTTCTTTAGATTCAATTTTTGTAAGTGACAATTCTCTGAGTGATTGTTGTTTAACTCAAATGATACCTACTGGTGTCATGTAACATTCACCACATTCTGCAGCAGTCATGTGAACCACGGGGCCCTTTCTGTCTTTGGTCTGACAAAACTTTGTGTGCTTCCCTGGCAATCCCATTAAAACAAATTGTGTTTGACTGATAAATAGCTGGATTAAATCAGACCAAGAATTGTAGGGACACTGTGACAGCTGCTGACAATATTCCCAGTACTGGTAATACTTTCAAGGATGTACAAATATGTCTGCCAAGAGATGCCCTTGCTGCCGTTCTTCCTTTAATCTGACAAGAGTAAGGACCTTGGATTCTGCTGGCTCCATAAAATCTGTTACCTGAAATATGAGGGCAGTGGTTTGTATGGAGGTGTTCATGCAAATACATATTATTCCCACTTGTGATGTAGGGTGGACATGGTTAAACGTTGACATGGTAAGAGAACACTACTGGGCTTATTTCTTTTAAAGAGTGGAAATGTTTTGTATATTTTTATAAGACTGTCAGTTCTTTGCCTTTTTTTTTAAGTGGCTACATAAGAGGTTTGGCATTGTTGAAAATTCCTTCTTTATGCCTTTTATGGTAATTTTTAGGGATTCTGTCTAATTTTTTTTTCTGGAGTCATGGTCAGGACTAAATTTCAAATCATTTCAGATAGATATAAAGCTGAGTAAACCTAAAAGAATTTACATTTTTAGTTAAATGTGAGTTGTAACTTCACTGCAATACTCCTTGTGTTTTGCAGTCAAATATGTAGGTCCTAGAGACAGATTTCACTGATATAATACTGTAAAAAATGATATTTTCAATGTGCAATGTGCTATCCAGGGCTGTTTGTCCTATGCTAGGCTGCTTTAGCACTAAAAGATACCTCTTCAGAAACTTCCTTCAGGAAAGATCAACACAAATCTCTGACTTTAAACAGAAGAGAACAACTGAGAACTACTATATTCAAAAGTAATATAGTAGTTTTTTTCTGTACGGACCATAAAGACAGCCCTACACTCTGCACCCAAACATGAAACTAGGCACTTCTGAAAGTAACAACAGAAAGAAAGTAATCTCTGAAATTTATACCATTAGCCTAGAAATACTACCTTTTCCTCTCTGTGTGAATCATGTTCATGATTTCCTGGATTAGCACACTGAACTCCCAGTGTGGTTAATTATGGTCTTAGTTTTTTGTTTTGTTTTTTTTTTATTTTATTTTCCATAATTAGCAAAGAATTTCTTAATCCTTAAGGCAATGTTTCCTTTAGTATAAATAAAGTGTAAGAAATTTTCTTGCTTTCCATCTTAATCCTTACACGTGCTGAAGAAGTCTGCATTGAGCTGGTTACCCTGCATGGGTCTTGGAGCTATTTTGGAAGGTAAAGGGACCTTTATGGAAAATGAATTTTTGAGTTTTTTTGGCTAGTAAACTGCAAGAGAACATCAGAATCAATATGAATACCATTTGAACAAAACAGAAAGCATCCATGTTACAGGCTTCTCTGTTATTAACAGGGTGGCTGCACAAACCAATTCCCCAAATACCAACACGTAGAAAAGCAAAGAAGTAAACTGTACATTTTAAAAAATATCACATCAAGCTGCATAATGAATGATATATCCCACAGTTTTTCATGTTTTGGGGGACCTAGCTCATTTATATCATGGTGGTCTCTGTCTGCATAAATGAGTGAGCTCTAGAATTCCGGTGGAGCTGGGAAACACTTTCTGATCCATTTCGAGAAATGGACGAGCTGTGGAGTCTGTAATCTCTGCCTGCTGTCTGCTTCCAGCACAAACTCCTCCACTTTCTTTTCAGCTCCCCCTGCACCTGTGTTAAAAAGAAAATGCACAATATGAGCTGAAGATTTACTTTTATGCGAGGAACTTTTCCATGTCTATCAGCTGTTACATGGGGATCTCTAGGAACAGAATCATAGAATGGTTTGGATTGGTACAGACTTTTAAAGACGATGTAGTTCTACTCCCTTCCAAGGGCAGGGACACCTTCCACCAGACCAGGTTGCTCAGAGCACCATCCAGCCTGGCCTTGGGATGGGACTTCCACAGCTTCTCTGGACAGCCACAGTGTCTCCACCATCCTCACAGAAAAGATTTCTCCCTTCCTAAATCCACATGTCAGTCTAAAAGTGCCCTGACACTACAGGCCTTGCTAAGAATTTTTTTTCCATCTTCCTTATAATCCCCCCTTTATGTACTCTAAGGTGCTATAAAGTCTCCCCAGACCCTTCTCCTTTCCAGGCTGAGCAATCCCTCCCCCTCAGCCTGTCTTCACAGGAGAGGTGTTCCAGCCTTCTGATAATTTTTGTGGCCACCTCTGGACCTGCTCTAACAAGTCCATGTCTTTCTTGTACTGGTGACTGTTGGATTTCAGAAACCTGGGTTCTTTCGAGCTTCCTGTGCTGTCTGGCAGTGACCCCCAGGAGAACATTGCTTTTGACCTGAGGCCTTGGAGAAGGCTTCCAAATTTGAGTGATGGAGTTAGAATCATGGGTGTGTAGTTAAACAGAATGTATGCTTTCACATGGTGAAGGGTTTTAAATTTGAGGGTTTTATAATATAGCAATAGGTATGGGACAAGATGGAGGATTTTGGGTGGTGTTCATCTTCCTTCTTTGTGGTTTCAGGTCACAGTTCCTGGTTGGACAGTCTGTGTCACATTCAGGGTCATGGAAATTTAGTTATTGGGTTAAAAGGATAAATAATATAGGTGTTAATTCCATATTGGACTGTTTAGCTTTAAGAGACCTTGTAGTAGCTGGATCCATCTCCATTTTGCTCACTTTTAGCTGGTGGCTAGAAGTGTTGCTGAATGTTCTATACTTTTGATAAGATTTAATAAATAACCAAGCCTGAAAATGAAAAAAATCCTTTTCCTTCCTGTATTTTTTAATCCTAGCTCTAAATAAAGGCAGAAAAAAAACTTAAAACAAACCACTAATTAAATGGTGCAAAAAACACCCACCACTGTTACAGTGATAATTCACCTGTCTTGACCTGCTTCTTTTAATGCTGAATAGAGAATAGAGTTGGCTTTTTGGGCTACAAGTGCACATTGCCAGCTCACAGTCCATTTTCATCCCCAAGTCCTTCTCTGCTGGAGGCTCTCAACCCTTCATCCCTTGGTCAGCACTGACAGACCCAGGTGCAGGACCTTGGACTTGGCCTTGAAGCTCTGGAGGTTCTTTCCCCCCTCTCCACAAGCCTGTCATGGTCCCTCTGGATGGCATCCCTTCTCTCTAGTGTACCCAGTCAGTTTTGCAAAGGTCACATAACTGAGGCAAACACTGCCTACACTGTGGGTAGAGAGGTGCCCTAAGGTCACTTTCTAAATCAATTTTGTATCACTTGTGCTGCAACATTAGCTTTTGATATCATTATTTATTTATTAGCTATTTACCTCATGTACTTAAAGCACAGAATCAAATGATTAGCCCAAAATCAGGCATCTCATGAATATCAAAGACCAGAATAGCACTCAGGAGAGCTGAATGTTGTCTTCTTCAGTCAGATTCCTTCTGTCAGACACTGCATGGTGGCTGAAATCAAAAGGAATTCCTTGCATCTTTCTCAGTTGAGGCTATGAAAACTACAACATGCTGTGCACTTCTGAAAATCTGTTACTGTTCTGAGGTTTAGATGCTGACAGAAAATTACCCCTAAATACTTACTAAATAGTATTTCAAGTTGCACCTCACTTGTACACTGCTTCTAACAGAGCTAGATTAGATCACGTTAAACAGCAGAAGACACTAACACCTCAGTTTGCCAGGAATTAGATTTTAAACAGCTCTTAAACTCTTCACCCAGCTACACTGATTTCTGCTGTTGTATAAAAACTGTCATAAATATATTCCACCAATATCTTCTAAAACAGTTCCATGTATCAGAGCAGAATTATAGGGGCACTTTTACATTTACTAAACCCAATATTTAACATTCTCAGTAGGAAAGGTGAGACTTACTTCACTGTTCAAAAAACAATACAGGACTGCAACAATCAACCCCTGGAAAGAGACAATATTCTTTAGTTAGTTGGCAGCATTCACCTAGGTCAGTAAAACTTCTTTTGAATAAAAACCTTAAAAATTTACCTGAAAAGATCCCAAACACAACTCAAAGATTATTTTATAATTGTTGGAACTGCGGTCAGGAAATAGAGCAAACACTGTGTAGTGAACTCCAAATAATGGAATAAGCAACAACGTGGATTTTGCAAGTCTCCTGGGTAAAGGAAAGAGACAAAGCTGAAATTTAATGATGAACTCTTGTTTTACTGAGATGAATGTGTAATTGTATGTACATTGCACATGCACAGGATGCAAACAGGACCTAGGAAATGTAATCAAGAGATTTTCATGAGCCTCAATTCTAAAACTTCAGAGCTTTAATGATGGTATGAAGCATACTCCATTAAATAATTTTCAATGTTGTCAATCACATAACAAAATTTAGCAGAACACACTACTGAAGTTAAGGAAATAGAACTTTAAATTACTAAGCAAAGCACAACTGCTCTGACAAACAGCTTGTGAAACTGTGGAATGATAAATTGCTACTTTTACCTTATCTGTCATTTATTTCACTCTAATAACATCAGTGTTATATATTATACAGGGCCAGTCATGCACAATTTTGGATGTCTGGTATCAGATAATATTTGAGAAGTTATAATGTTGAGTTCCATAATTCATCACTGTCTTGATGAATATAACTTGTTTCAACAATGTAAGGATGCTGTTCTGAATTCACCTATTTTAACAGAAAAGTTAAGGTATTTCAAGTAGTTTTAGTTTTTCTTTGTCATCTTCATGGCCTTGCTTTGTTTGTAACGTCCCAGGGGCTGCATCTATTTATGTGGAAATAATAATTTCTGACAGCAAAGCTTCTCAAGAATAGTAAACCCCTAACATCTAAAGATGGTACCGGAAGCAAGAAAAATAGGGATTCCTTAGCAGAAGAAATTCATTTACAGCTGGTGGAAATGACACTGGCAGCAATTTTCCTGGTTTCCCAAGTGAAATGCAAAACTGATTTTATTTGAACTTAGCCCTATGCACTGCAAAAGCAAAATGAACAACAAAAAGGATGGAACCAGCTACAAGCAGGTTCAGAGGAAGGGAATAAAAATGGTGACTTGCATGAGTAGTATTCATTTTAGATTCATATTTCACTTTATGCTTAGCTTAGTAATTTTTGTCTAGTTGATTCTACTTTCTCTATACTTCACTTACATTTTAGTAAAAGAAAGGGACAAACAAAACTGCCTTATTCTTCTCTGCATTTTAGAAAATGCATTTGCAATTTTATAAATGAGCCTCCCAGATCTTTTAATTTGCTCCGTAGATGCAGTTTCTTGAGGAGGTTAATCTACTTTCCCATGGGTATCAGCTAAAGACCAGAAATGCAAGCTTAATCAGGCAATCAAATGCTAAAAGCAAAGAATTTACAGGGCAGAATAATGAAGGACAAGGTTGCAATTAATGTGAATATTTAATATTATAAACTACTACAGTAAACTGTGGGAAATGGTGGGACTGAAAGTAAAGGAATGCCTAATTTTCAAAAAGTAAATAAATATCACATGGAAGCAAAGAAAGCTTTATGTCACAAGAAATAAACTTGAGGGGATTTCCTGCCTATAGGTTGGTCACTGTGACACTGTGGTGGTTTGTAAAGGTTTCTTGAAATTTTTCAAATTCAAATTCAGTTCGAATTTTTTTTTTAACTGAAACCAGGACATCTTTATAACAATGTGGGAGAGCTTATTGAATCTAGATTAAATCGTGCAGTTGCCACATTTTAGGATTTAATGTTCAAACCAAAACACAAAGGAAGAAAGTATGAACAGAAATGAAGTTGATCTAAGCCAGAAACAACCGTTTTCCTCTAGAAAAGTAAAGACAGTATTTTAAATCAACATAAAACATCATACTTAAATTTTTATTTTTTTGTAACAATGTAAGTTCTTTTCAGCTCTTAAAATATATTTAAGTATTTTTGAAATTTTAAAAAAGGTTTTAAGGAGCTGAAGGAAAATTTTTTGGAAACTTTTCTTATGTCAAGATGAAACATTTATATATCAAAAGAAAGATATTACTCTCCATATATTTTGTGTCAACATATTAAACTCAAATTCAAAAATAGCTTGTTAGTCTTTCTGAAATGTAGTATCTTTTATTGAATTTAATGTTTAATAAAAATGTATTTATCTCCATTTCAGCATAGTTGTATTTATTAAACCATATCTAAAAGCAGTTCTAAATTAAATGTAATTATAGTAACACAGCAGTTGTTGGTTTTCAGAAGATGAAATCTTAGAGATTATTTTGGTTCTGTCTATAATATCTAAAAATATGACTCACTTGTACTGTGACTGATCATTTCCTCCAACATCTGGAGATCTTAACTTCTGCAGCAAGATTCTTATGATGCTTATGAAAAGTATAAAATTCACCTGCAAAGAAAACAATTGTAACGGTGATTTCTGAATCCTCTGCTCAATCCACAGCACACAGAAATGCTTATCGAGTCACACAGAGCCGGCTCAGCCTGGGAGTCGTGCCCCCCCCCAGCACCCCTCGGTTCTGCAGTGCCGAACCCGCCGTGCTCTGCAGCACCAGCTGTGCCAGCAACCACTGCAGGCCCACCAGTGCTGCTCTGCCTGGCAAAATCTGTCAAAAGCCCCAATATTCAGAAATGTCCTCCTCCCACTACTGCAGCTGAGGACAGGTTTCCCAGCAGGGTGGGACGCTGGATGTGGTTTTTTGCAATCAAGCACTGTCCTAAGTTGTCGCATGGATTCACCCCTGGAAGCCCAGAAGCAGTTTTGGCCTTCCCTTGCTCCTCACCTCAATCTCAGTATTTTCTGTCTGAATTAGGGTTAGGGAAGATTGTTGCACAGCTGATCTGTCTACTCCAATCAAGCACAAAATGGGCCTCTCACAAGTATCTGACTCTTGGATATTGATGCTGACATTATGAATGAAGGAATCAACAACAGCTGGGGTTGGAAGAGACCTCTGGAGATCATCTAGTCCATCTGAATCCCTGCAGCCTAATTCTCATGACAGCCCTCTAAGACAGAAGAGCAGCATTTTATTTTGTATTTTATTTCATATTTTACTTTATAGAAAGGCACTTGCATAAAAAATCATTATGATCAGAGCCTAATCAGTCTAGAAAATTAAAGTATAAAATTCAGTATATCCTAAGTGTTATTCCCCTTATTTCTTCAGCCAACTTTCAGCTTCCTCTGGTTACCATCCCCTCTGGTATTGGATCCTTTGGTGTGGTCTAGAAAACTGCACACTAAATATAGCACGTCCATATGAAGTAATGGAAAAGTTGGAATCCACCTCCAGAGCAACAATGTGTTCTAAATACTGCAACTCCAGCTACATAAACAGCTGCATCAAATGCACACATATTGGAATAAATTAATCTAGAGAAAAAAATGATATCACAGTGAAAATGAGAATTTTGTTTTTTTAAACTAACCCTATCCCAAAGCACAAAATCATGAGGTGGAGTATCTAACCAGACAGTGCCTGTCTCACTGCTATAAATCTCTGTCTTCATGTATTGGTGGAATCCTTCTTCTTTCTCCTAAAAGTTTGGCTCCGAGCTTTTCAAGTTCAATCAATTTCTGTGTCTTCTATAACACAGCCTATAGAATTTTGGATACTAAATAATAATAAATATACCACAGTCATAGCAACTGCTTGTCCCTCTGTTTTCGTTTGAAATGACAGGTGAAGGATAGTAAAAGGAACTGACAGAGATGAAATATAAAATTAGGAAAAGCATATCTAATATATTTTTAGAAAAGAATAAAAATGAAATGTTAGAAAATATAGGCTTTTGTTGAACTTAACATATATTTTTTTCAGGCAGATGATTACTTAGAAGCTTACCTATAAAGGTAACACGCAGAAATCTGTTATTGCAGATTTTATCTGCAGACTTAATGCAGCTGAGTGCACACAGCAGGGGATATTAACTTGCCATATGCACTGGAGCCAGTATTAGTGGCCAAGGAAAGAAAGGGGTAACACCACATTCATTTGGAACAGTCACATCCAACAGAGTAACTGAAGTGTGTACAGCATGAAGTGTGAACATCTGCCAAATGACTTCTCTCAGGCCAAAATTCTCAGGAGGAAATGCCAGGGAGGTCTCTGACACACTGAATTAACTGAAGCCATTCCCACTCTGCAAAATGGTACCACAACTTGCTCTTGCAATACTGTTGGATAGATCAAACTTTGCTGCCTGACCAGCACCCCATTGCTCAAATCACAGCTCTCTTCCCAGTCTTCACTAGGATCCAGCTGCAGTTCAGGTCTGCCAATGTGCCCTGGGATAACTTCCAGGTCCAGGACTGCTTTGGAGGAGCACTGCCTTCTGGCACATGAAGCTTGAGATAGCTGCTCAAACTGAGCATCCAGAGAACAGAGTTTCCTGTAAACACCAGGTGGTTTGTTTTGCTTTTATCTTCCAACACATATTCTTCACTCTGGATTGTTCCTCATTCTCCTTTCAGGTCCAAGTATTCCCTTCATGCTGTACTTCTGTTGCATACTCATTTCTTCAAAACATAAACCACCTTTGAAGCCTTACCCGATGTCATTTCACACATATGGCCTACTCTTCTTTCTCTTCAAACTGCAGAATTCACTCTGACGGCGATGACAGGAGTTTCTCCCAAAATTATTTTCATCAAGGACAGATTGAAAGGCAAGCCCAAGCATAATGCAAACTCCTGAAATCTTGTGTAATCTAATAATGCCCTAGATTTTCTGCCTACAATTTTAAAAATGAAGTAACTATGTCTAAAATACATTAATTTTCTCTCAGACTATTTTCAGAAATGGACATATAACCATAGTATATTATGCCCAAAGTTAATTACACAATCATTACAGTGAACAGGAATATTATTACATTACTCCAGTAATTCTAATGAGTTCCAAACAGGAAAAGCCCTGTGAAACATTTTCAAATGGTATTATTTTGCAAATACTTCATACTCAGTATATATTTCAGTAGGCTACCAATTAAAGAAAGATATACACAGCCATACTTTTTATGACTAATATCAGATTCTCAATTGCAAGACATCTATTTACACACAAAATCAAATCTGCAATTCATTGAAAAGTATAATTAGATTTTTCCTTCCTCCAGGCTCATAAAGAGGAGAGACGTTAAAGAAAGAACAACACACAAATAAAAGGAACTGCTCATTTAATAGGATGCAGATAAATTTTGAAGGCAACAAATTTTAATGGCCTTGGCATCTGTTTAACATTTCTCCTGCAGCACAATTTCTTTTCATTAAAACAGAATTCTTGCCTATCTGTAACTAGCAGTAAAGAATAATGGCTACATGCACTGCACAATGCTGAAGAGATCTATAATTCATGCTTCAAATTTTACTTACTATAATAGAAATTAAAATTGGTATTCGTATAACCCACCAGGGACCACCATGCTCATTTGTATCCCAGCAACTACAAAAAAAAAAGAGGGAAAATAATGTTGACATTAATATCATCTGGCAAGCAAAACCTATGAGAAGTATTTCTTATAAACAAGTCAGAGCACACTAAAATAATGCCTGCTCTAGCCTAGAATTTGGCATTCAATCATTTCCTGTTATTAATTTTATTTCCTTTGTTTTAATATACATATTAGATTTCCCCACCAGGAGCACTGTGTGCAGGTGTGGAGTCCTCAGCATAAGAAAGATGTGAACCTGTTAGAACAGGTCCAGAGGGAACCCCAAAGGTGAGCAGAAGGCTGGAGCACCTCTCCTACAAGGACAGGCTGAGAGAGTTGGGGTTGTCCAGCCTGGAGAATACAAGGCTCCATGGAGAAATCATTGTGACTTTCCAGCACTTAAAGGGGGCTTACAAAATAGAGAAAGAAAATGACATTTTGCCAGGGCACGTAGTGATAGGACAAGGGAGAATGGTTGAAAAATGAAAGAGGAGAGATTTAGGCGTTAGGAAGAAATTCTTTACTCATAAAGTCACAGAATCATTTAAGTTGGAAAAGACCTCTGAGATCATTGAGTCCAACCTTTGACCAAGCTGCACTAGACCATGGCACTGAGAGCCACGTCCAGTCATTTCTGGAGCACCTCCAGGAAAGCTTTACAACCCCTTCAGTGAAGAAATTCTTCCTGATGTCCAAACTGAACCTCCCCTGGCACAGCTTGAGGCCATTTCCTCTCGTCCTGTCACTGGCTGCCTGGGAAAAGAGACCAACCCCACCTGGCTACAACCTCTGTGCAGGCAGCTGTAGGAGTGATAAGGTCTCCCCTGAGCCTCCTTTTCCCCAGGTTATACAACCCCAGTTCCCTCAGCTGCTCCTCATGACTTGTGCTTCAGACCCTTCACCAGCTTTGCTGCTCTTCTCTGGACATGCTCCAGCCCCTCAATGTCCTTCTTGTAGTGAGTGGCCCAGAACTGGACACAGGATTCCAGGTACAGCCTCACCAGTGCATTCACTCCAAGGGTGGGGACACCCTGGCCCAGGCTGCCCAGAGAAAATGTGGATGCCCCATCCCTGGAAGTGCTCAAGGCCAGACTGGATGGGGCTCTGAGTAACCTCAGTGTGGCATCACTGCCCATGGCACAGAGGGTGGGAACCAATTGGTCTTCAAGGTCCATCCCAACCCAATCCATTCTATAATTCTATAAAATCAGCTCAAACAACAAGCACACTGGGCTGTACCATTAGACATCATGGAGGATGTTAACCTTTGTGGGAACCAAGCTTAGTTTCACTTTGTGTAAGGACACTTCTCAGTCTGCACTCAATGCTGACCCCTGGGTAGCAGGAAGATCTAAAGCAACCGGCAGGTGCAATTGAAATTAGGTAGTTTCTTGTGGGATATTTAGGTTATAGATGCTGGAACTTGTTTGTGAAAATGTGAGACTGAACTTGAAGCTCTGTCAGAAAAACTGAATATTTAATTTTCACTCTGGGCTCAGGACTTTTGATCCAAATACTTTAAATGCTCTGAAAGGTTAGTCAGATTAAAGATGAATTACTCTTCAGACTTCCTCTGTAATCCTAATGACAAAGGAAAAAGAAGTTTGCCTTTGGTTTACATGTTAGAGGTCTTGCAAAGAAAGCCTTGAAATTACGTAGGACATGATTTTTCAGTTTAATTACAGAATAAAATGAAAAATAATAGTTAGTTGGACAAAGCAGGACTGTACAAACTGTTTGTTCACTAGTTAGGAGTGTTGTTCCATTCCTTGGGAGCAGCAGGATCAAGCCTGATCTTCCTACAAAATTCATGTCTCAGTTCCCCTTCGCCAGGAGCCAGGCTTAGCTCTAGTTGGCCTTAGCTTCACCTTCATGCATCTGACATACTCTCACATCACTTTTGGGAATCTGATTTATGTGTACCCAAAGTTATCTGCACTTCAATCTTCTGAGTTGCTAGTTATGAAATTAGAATGCCCAGCACCTTCCTGCACATTGCAGCACCCAAGGACCCCACGGCTGTTTTAAACATTTCCCAAGCTCAAGATGTGGATACCAAGGAATATCAGCAGTCATAATCTGTCTCTGCTCTCTCCTGCTCTCTGAGGTTTTCAAATAAACATCAAGCATAACCCACAGCTGAAGAGCTCCCAAACCCCCATCCTTTTATTGCCATCTCTGAAATTTCAGTTCTGTGCTCGTCCCTTCTAGAGCAGCAAACCAGCTTTGTGTGAGCAACACCATATCCAAGGCAAGGATTGTAGAGGCATGGGGGGGCTTTAAGCTTTCTTTCCTACACAACTCACCCAGTGTCCTCTAGAATGATCCTTGTCACTGTCCACGTAATAATGAATATCGTAGGAATTCCTGAAAAATGCCAAGGGGTTTAGAGAATGATCACAGAAATACAAGTCCACAAAAAAAAAACAACAAAAAAAACCAAAAAAACCACCCCAAAAAACTTCAGCCCGCTAGTAAGCAATTATTCCCCAAATACACAGCATATAGTAAACTGTTCAGTGAATGGAAGGAGAGACCCACCTGATGAGCTACATTATTACATGTTTACTTCAGCAATGTATTACAAACAAAGACTGCAGGGAAGTGAGTTTATTTCTCATAAAAGTGCAGCCATAATTACTAATACACAAAAATGCCTTTCTTAGGTTTTTTGCAAGGTGTCAGAGTGACTTACAGGGAAATAGATACAAGTTATGCATTCCCAATGCACCTCCAAGGACTGCAATATAAAATAGTAGTATAAATCATTTCATAAGGAACCTTGTCCACACACTGGTTTATTCCCATTTCCCAGCAACACCCAAATGTTTTATGACCATCTATTACTGGAAGCATTAAAGTGTTCCATATAAATATCATCGCATTGTCTGTAAATGAAAGGAATATCTGCATTTAAAACCAGATGGACAGTATTATTGTGCTTTTCAAAAAGCAAAATTGCATAGTGTAGCTGATGGCTGTGCAGCTAAACTTCAATTTTCCTCACAAATTAGGACACTTGAATCATGTATTTTGCAGTGGCAGTCCTTGCACCAGAGTAATCCCTGGGTGTGGTGCAGATGGCCCAGGTGAAAGCTGTGCCAGGGATCAAGCCAGCAGTGATGCTCCAGCAGTTTTGTGCCTGCTTTTTCCTGTGCTACAGCAGCGGTAACCTGTGCTGGAGCTGAGCTGGGCAACCTGTGACTCTGAGGAGTCACCACCACAGACACTGAACCTGACCAACACACACAGAGGAAAAATAACATTACTGCAAGACGTGTAAGCTCTTACCCCATCCTATCAGCAGGTAGATCGTGAAGTGTCTGTTGGGGGAGAATATTAGCACAAGGAGGATGTGGAGGTAAAGTCCTTCTACTAAGAGCCAGTAAAAGTTTGCCATAACACCATACTGGAAAAACACCAGAATTGCCTTGCAGCCCACCTGAAATATGAGAAAGATCAAATTTGTCACAGGAAAGATGCTATTTTATTTTTATTACTACAGCCAAAAATCTTAGCTGTCTTTGTAGTATCAACAAACCAGGTCCAGCAGAAATTTTTATCTTCAGTCAAGCAAACTGTGACATTGTAAATGTTACTGTATATATTAAAAGCAAGTGAATTATTAAAAATTTTTTAGACGGTTCTCTTTGCAAATTCACTCAGAAAATTTTAAAACTTCACAGGATAAATACAGAAAAATATGGTGGTTATCAATAAATCCACACTTTTGCAACAGTTTGTTAATGAATGACTATAAAATTAAATTATCATCTACTAGGAGTCCAATAAATGTATTAAAACCTCACATGGCTTCCTAACACAGTAAAAATTAACAAAGGAACTACTTTATTGTTTTCTCAAAGCTAAATGTGAAACTGAGTGAAAAATATAACTTTATGTCATGACTAAGTAGACTGAGAAGAAAAAGTTGGCTGGACTTTTAAAAATAATGTTTTCTCTTTAGAAAATGTTTTAGACTTTCTTAGTTAACAAAACACAGACATGTACCAAAAAATGATACTTATAGTCTATGTGCTGCTCTTCAGAATTAATTTTCAGATGTCTGTGTTGCTGATGTTCCACGGTGCTGGCTGCTGCTACTTTGGTACTTCCCAGCAGGAATCTGGGATGTGAGAATTGAATATGAAAATGCTCATATGGACTGAGAATGTGCTGAGAAATGTGATGTTATGGTGAACGTAACAGACTAAACAAACTGGACCAAGTAAAATCTCTAGTTTCTGCCAGCTTTACTCACTTCTCCATTTTAAATACCCTTCATACCTGTATTTTTCTGTTAAAATCCCAATACACCAGATAGCTAAGCAGGTAACTTAGTCACAGAGATTGATTGCTGTGTCTGAACATAGGTGTTTATTCAGAAGTGAGATGCAGTCACCAGCTGCTAAGCCAAAAGGGCACAGACCTCCCCAGGGATATTTCTTTGTATTAATCAGCCCCCTATGATGTCTCAGATACCTCAGTAATATTCATGCCTGTGTACATGCATAGACAGAAAACTAAGGAAAAGTCCAAAGGCTTGACTTCATTTCACCTGATTTTAGCTGCCTACAACCAAAGTTTGAAAGCTAGCTAACTTTGGTAAGACTAATCTTACGTCTGGACTTGGAGATATCCACTGCAGATCAGCAATGGGCCAGAAAATGTAAGATGGATAAAATTAAGCATTTCAAAATTTGTTAGAAGTTGAAATTTTCAAGCAAGTTGAAATTTGCTTTTATGCTTAGGGCTCCTTACAATCAGATCAGCAGTGAAAATTTTGTAATCCTTTTTAAATTCCAATATTCCCTTATATTACATTCTCAATTTACATACCAGAACCTGCATTAAAGTATTTTCCCTTCCTCCTGCAGGCAATCCTGTATTGGCTATATTTGCAGATGCTGAAGGTATCTATCAGTAAAGTTAGCCCAAATTAATTCTTCGTGTAATCCAGAGCTAGTGCCTACTTACAGAGCCTCATGGACCTCTGTGAGTGCAGCAGAACTGTGGAACATCACACACACATGACTAAAGGAGCAAACCTCACGTGTTTTTACGTGTGAAAAGCAGCACCAAGCCAATGCAAGACAGAACAGCCTCGTCAGGCTGGTGCCAGATCATCCCACATACAATGCAACAGAAATTAGGCAGCAGTCCACAAATTCTGGCATGTTTAAATAGGAAAAGATAAGGTTTTGTAGCCAAGAATTACTGGACAATAAATTAAATTGCAGAAACCAAGTAGTATTTTGAGAGTCCACTGAACAGTCTTTCAAGGACCTAAGAACTTCTGATTACCCCTGGCAATCTGTCTACCATCTACGTTGCCTAATTGAGGTCTACTAACTCAGTTCCTGTTTTTCCCATTAGAAATATCCCAGATTATTCATTTCTATACACAGCTTAGTAGTCACTGCTAAGAACTTCATGTTTTGGGACAATATGCCTTCATCAAGACAAAAATATCTTCTTCCATTTTTTCCTCACAAGTTTAAACTGTAGTTAATTAAAATTAGAAGGGACTTTTGACTGAAACAACAAGGCAGAGAATGGGACATATCATACAGAGGTCAGTCTTTTAACTTAAGCTAGGCTTGAGATTCTTTTAAACCCTGTGCATGAAAATGCAGTAAACATATTAGCTTGCCAAGAATGCAGATGATAACACTTCTGTCATAGCCCAGAAGTACAGAGGAGTTAATGAAGACAGCTCCTGCAAATATTTAATTTCCTGAGTTACTTCCCTCCCTCCACTGATACCTGTCCAATTCCTGCACCCCTGATAAAGCTGCTGGAACACTTCTAGAGCAGCTGCCTTTAATCACTCCCAGCTGATGGCACTTCTGTTTGTCTTCAGCTCTCCCAGCTGATTAATGCAGTGGCCATATTTATTCTGAGCTGTATCTGGTTATGATTTGTCTTGGCAGATGAAAAGTTGTCCTTCATGGACATACAAACAATATTAAGGTCTCCTACTCGTGCTGCAGCCTTCTTTATCTGTATACATCTAACACATCATTCTCCTAGTCATTATATTCTCTTCAGAATTGTCTACGCTGAAATCTTGGTACTCCTAAATATTTAAAAGGATCAGGGAGGAAAATTCAGTGACAAAATAGTGTTACACCAGGTAGCAAATGAGGTTTATTACCCAAGAAGTTTGATCCTCTGGACAGTGAGCTGTGTTGGAGCTGGAATAGAGAATATCATCCTTGACTAAAACAGAGATTGCTCTTAGAATGAAAGAGAGGAACAGGTTCAGATGGATGTAGTTCCGAGTGCAATGAAGTTTTCTAAAAAGAGATTTAAAAACAGGCATTTTAGATTATGATGCTGAAAACGTTGAACAGACTTCTATTACTCTGTGGACATTTCTTAGCAATATGAACCTTGAGTAAGAGCATACCCTCTCCTTCTCTGTCATTTTGTCAGCACTGCCTTGCTGTTTTCTTTCATCTCTTACTTCTGTTCAGTATCACAGACTAAAAGATCCCAGTGGTATTTCTCTCACATTTTAACATAAGCTGACAATAAACATAGGTTATTATATCCTTCTCTGTATGCACTCATTCCAGTGTTTTTCTTGCAAATTCAACTTTGATTATCCTGGATCTATTTCAAATGTGCTCTCACCTATTATTTTCTGGTTTCATTCTTTTATTTAACTCCTGTAATTTGCTACATGGTGACTTTTGATCCTATGATGTTGGTGTATGCAGGAGCAATTAAAAATACATTCAGAACATTTGATCACCTACCCTTTCTATCCAATGAATGTAAAACTTCTCTTTTTTAGTCTGGCAGACATGTGAAAGCCTTACAAACAAATAACAGATTAAATATTCCATGTAACTGAATGAGTACGTAAGGGAAGCATGAAGCTATGAAGTTGAGGGCTTTTCCCTTAAAATACAGTCCCTTCAAGATTTCCTGTTAGACAAGTGGAAGTGATACACAAAGGCATGAAGGTGGAGAGGTTGAGAAAAACTGTGATACTGATAAGACCATTTCTAAAGTTATTTTACTAGTTGAAGATTGCCTTCAGTCTAAGAAAAGTCACAGAAATTAGGCAAGATCAGCAGGCAGTACTGCCTTTCCTGACAGTGCCTAACAAAAACCAGACTCAGCACAATTATCCGTACCTTTACTACAGTGTTTAGAACCAGTGAGGCTTGTACCTCATGTTCAGTTCTGGGCCCCTCATTTCAAAAAGGACATTGTGGTGCTGCAGGTGTCCAGACAAGGGCAATGAAGCTGGTGAAGGGTCTAGAAAACATCTTGTGCAGAGCACCTGAGGGAACTGGGGTTGTTTTGTCTGGAGGAGGCTCAGGGGGACCTCATTGCTCTCTAGAACCACCCGAAAGGAGGGGGCAGCAAGATGGGAGCTGGTCCCTTCTGCCATGATTCAAGTGAAGGGATGAGAGGAAATGGCCTTTAGTTGCATTTTGTTCAGACAAAAAATTTTCACTGAAAGGGTGGTCAGGCATTGGAATGAGCTGCCCAGGGAGGTAGTGGAGTCAGCTGTCTTTGGAAGTGTTCAAAAGGTGTTTGGATGCAGCACTTGGGGACGTGGTTTAGGGGTGATTATGGCAGTGCTGGGTTGATGGTGGGAGGAGATGATCTTGAAGGTCTCTTTCAACCTTGGTGATTCAGTGATTTGGTGATTCTGTGATTTACTGCCCCAGTTGGACAAATTAGTGAAACCACTCAGAATCTTCCACAAAATATGGCTGCACTCTTGTCCAGTGGTGAGATCAGCATCCAAACAATTCTCAAGAGCAATTCAGGTATCTACTTAAATAACCAAATAGAAAATGCTTTATGTAATCATTCCTAAATTACTGTTCTTTCTTACATGGGCTGAAATACCAGTAAATTTGTAAAATGCTTTGAAAATTGTTACTATGGTCAGTGCTAGCAAAAATCTAGTCAGCATTACATTACTGTCAGCTGTTTAACTGTGAAGAGTGTAAACTCAATTAATGTCTAAATAGCTGAGCAATCAGACAACAGTTAAAGATGTCTTATCATTGTTAATATTTACCCATGAAAAACACATACCTGAAAAGGCAAAGAATTATACTTCCTGTTGTAAGAGCAATCAGAGATACGCTGTGTCCAAGGGTATAAATTGCTTTCACCCTCACATAGAAGTTGACCTGCACAGAAAAATGTATATGCAGAAACTACTTACTGATATGTCAAATTGTCTGTGAAATGATGTAATTGTCCATTAAATAGCTCTGAAAGCTATAGCATGATTTTCATTCTTTGCTCTACAGTACATGATGAGAATGTTATATCTCTATTCCAACACATTTTGCAAGGCAACATCTCAAGACAATTGACTTCAGTAGAAAATTTAGCCTCAGGAACTCAAAACTTAGACACACAATCTGGTACCATTCCAGTTGATTATACCATGTCAATGAGGTCAAATAAAGTATCAGATTCATCAATTTCCATGAACACAATCAAACTGGTAAGAGCAAGTCAGTTTGAAAGAAAGGATTATCTCTAAAAGAGATAATTTCTCTCAGTCCTTCTGCTCTAGAGTACTTTGTAATGCAGTTATACATGAATTTAATTTTAAAGACACATTTAAATCTCATTAATCTCCTATTCAAAATGTTCAAATACTTTATTAAAGGTCACCCAAACAACCCTTTCTTTAGTAAAGTTACTTGCTAAAACTTGAAAAGGAAATTTTTCAACAGAGGAGAAGGCTAAAATGCAGTCTGCTGATTAACTGCATTTATCTGTAAACTCACCAGCTACACACTACATTAAGTCCTATTCTGAATAAAAACTTCAAGAAAAATAGGGCTAAATATATTTTCAGAATTAAACTGCTTCTCCATTTATGCCTACAACAAAGTCATTAGACTGACATTAGTTTCCACTCAAGCTAGATAAAATATTAAAACAGCAAAGTTTTTTTATCACATTATGAAATTAAAGATTTAAAAAGCAACGCAGAACATGCTACATATAAGAGACAGAATTTCAATATTTACTGCACATGGTTATCATTTGCCTTCTCAAATGATGCTTGTAAAAAGTAGCAGGGAAGCAACACTTTTAAGTAAACTCACATAGCCAAAGGAATCTCAAATCACTTGGCATATTTATTTTTATAGCGTTCAAAAGGCCACGTAAGGAGGTTATTTTAGTAATCCCAATTCATGATGAAATTAGCTGAACATTCCCTTTGCAAATGTTATAGAGATATGGAAAAGGCAAAATGAAATGTGGAATAAAATGAAGACTCTTGCAACTGCACTGTTGTAGATATAGTTGAAGTGGAAAAATTTGGGAAGCAACTGCCATGGATCTTAAGTGCATTCATAGCAACTGTTATGTTGTTATATATTTCAACCATTAGATTGTAGAATAGACGGTCTCTTGTACTTTGGTATAAAGAAAGTAGCTCTTCAAACTGCATTGGGATGATTGAGACATGCCCAGTAAGAAAGCTGGACTGGTTTAACTTTTCATCATTCCACACCAGTTTGAAAATTCTGTCCGGATTTGATTTCAGGAAAACTCCATGATTGAGACCCTTGAAATTGGACCTATTTGATTTCAGAATTCCTAAATGAAGGAAAAAAAGGTGGAAACCCTGCATGAGCTTACTAACAAAGCATCACTTGTCCACCACACTGTTGTAACTGTGCCTTGAATTTTTCCTCTGGCCATGTACTCTGAACTCAACAGAAACTGTCAGGCTGCTGCACATGAAGTGGCTCTGTCACCTCACCCTGCTAGGGAGAACAGAAAAGGTTGTCTTCTGCCAGAAAAAACACACTAGTTCATGTAATGTTTCTGGCATTCTGTACACACACATGACCCCTACAACAAATAGTCTGACTGAAATCAAAAGAAGAACCCCGTGTACTTTTAGCCCAGCAAACAGCTGTTGGTAGCAGCAGGACTGAGTCTCTCTGCTGGCCATTCCTTTGCCAAAGATGAATGTGAAATAACTGCATGGAAGTATGTCAGGACTGAAGTTAATCAGCCAAGAGTGCTTGGACATTACATTAATAATGACCATGGTCATTTTGTTCAAGATAAGCACAAGAAAATTAGAAATAATTACACAGTTGAAATTATTTTATCATATGATAATAATTATCCCGCATTCTGCACTTGGAATGGTGGAAAAGAACATCTTTTCCTTTTTCTCAAACATTTTAGTGATTTAGTTTTATAATGGACAGAAATTCTAGATGATACAAAATTTTCTACTGATGAAAAATTAACCCTGCTTCTCAAACTGTTGCAAAGGTAAGTAAACACTAACCCATTTCAATCCATTATATCAAAAAATTACAATTGTTCAAATTCATGTGTTTTGATTTTCCAAAAGAATTTAGATGATTAGAATGCTTTAGATGATTAGCATGAAGCTGTTTATCAGATTCATCACCAAAGATGATGCAATCATACTGCTCCTTACATCCCCTGTGTGAACATAAAACAGATGTGTCTTAATTTGCCTGTAAGACCTCTATAACTCCTAAAGACTCAACAAAAAAAAAAAAAAAAAGAAAATGGCGTTTTCAAATTATATGTCAGTTAAATATACACAAAAAAAATCCATAAAGACAAACAATTAAATTCCACATTGTGCTGTGGCAATTGAAAACCAGGAAATTCATTAGACTAATATTGACTTAGTCACAGCTATTAAATATTTGTTACTCATCTGTATTTCAGCTAATGCCCTTTAGAAACAAACTGTTTGCATTGTATTGTGCAAGAAAAACAAGCAAAGCAATACCAAATCTGATAGCACAAAAAAACCAATGTCTTTTATGCAAAATGGGATATCTTATTTATTTCTTACTACTCTGTGTGAACTGTAATACTCAGGTCTCGAGCAACATTTAGTTTTAACCTCTAAACTTAAAATATAAATGTGCAAGATTGGCAGGAATAAAATGACTGCAACAAAGGCATGGATTGACCAAAAGAGAATTTCAGAAGTTATATTTTCAAAATATTTTAACACAGAAGAAATATCAAAACCCCTTCAGATTGTGTAGCTCTTTTCAAAGGAAAAACTGATTCAAGTCATATATATGAAATAGAAATACCATTATGAAGCTGAAATGACATAAACTTTTCTGCAGGTCTGACAAAATCAGTACTTTTGCAACATAGTAAGAACAGCTGGCCTCTGCAAAATATTCACAGGATTATTTGAACAATGCAGATTCCAAAACTGAAAGCCAGCTATTTATTTTTAAACTTCTGAGGAAAATATTAAAATTGCAACCACCAAACCAAAGTCAATATGTTGTTAGGCACAGAAAAATATCAATGGCTTACGATTTTCAGAAAAAAATCATGGAAATGGTTACAGGAAGTGTAAATCTTTTCTAAAGAGCTGATACTAAAATGTTTCCTCTTCTTTTGTGACTACTTAATGTTACCATGTTTTAAAGGGCATAAAACCCCACACATAAAATGAAGTTGGATTAGTACAAATTTGCCTAATTTGTCTTAACTTCAATAAATGTTTTGTAAAATCTATTTTTAGGCACACTTGTGTTTTGTTTTCTTCGAAAAGACACCTGTTTCTGCCAATGTTTCCTTTAAATTTAGTTTCATGTTATTTTTACTAAGTTCAGGAGACAGAATTCTCCTGTTTATTTACAAAATAGCTCAGAAGAGCAGAGACAGTTCCGAGGCAAAGCAGTCACCCTGCAGGTCTCTGAAGCTCAGCCTTGGTCTGGAAGGACCTCTAGGGGTGAGAAGGTTCCTCAGTGATGGAGGAGAAAACACTGGAGAAAATTAAGGGCTTGATTCTTTGTCCAAAAGGGTTTTGCTGTTGATTTTCCCTTCATGTAAAAGAAAAGCCCGCAACTTTTTATTCATTTACTCAGAAATATAATTTATCATTGCTAAGGAATATATGACCATTTTTTTCCCAACTGACTCTTCATTTTGTTTATTCTGTGGGCTAATATAATCCTGTAATACTGCAGTAAGAGTTTCCTCTTTACAGGTATAATTGCTTACAACTGTATTACAATTTGTGATCTGAAATTTTCATGATCCATGTGTCAATATTTGAATACTTCATAATATTTGAATACTTCATAATATTTGAATACTTCATAATATTTGAATATTTATACTTGAAGAACATATCAGAAAATCTTAAACTGTACAATGTAAAATAAGAACTGGGCCTAGCAAATGAGTTCAGTGCTTTAGAAATACTGAAATGAGCAAATGCAGATAGAAATGGAGTAAGGAATCCTAGTTCTTTCCTTCTGCAAAATTAAGTTCAACAAGGCAGTAGCCATTTTTAAATCTTGTCCTTGTACAAGAATAAATAGAAACTGAGATAAAGAGACGGATTACATGATGTGGAAAATTTAATTTTCTCTTACAGGACTCTTCTACACATTTTTAATTTATGTATGTAGAGAAGAATAGAATTTACTAATAAGATGTAATAAAATTGGTATTCCTCTTGGTATTTAATAATCTTTATACGAGTAATTAATGATACCCTTTTTCTGACATTTTTCCTTCAATTCACTTTGAGCCTAAACACCACCCAAAAAAAAAGATGAGATTAGCATTGCCATAAGTATCTCTTAGTAATAGTGGCATCATTAATTTTAATTATATCAGTCAGAATGTCTTATTCAAAGTTCCCTAACCATAGTGGGAGAGATGATAACTTTGTAAATGCACAAACTTCCACATTTTCCTGTGTAAACATGTATCAGCAGATGTATCTGTGAACGTGAACACTCACAGTGTACTGGAATTTAGCAGTTTATTGAATATGCTGCAATTAAGGCAAATTCCCTCTGTGCTCTACAAGAGAGAATATCAGCTAATATTCAGTCCTAGTCAAAACTTGAAGTCAAAGGAAGATTTTGCACTTATTTTAAGGAATACTGGTTTCTGAATCACACTTCATGGAAAAATATTATTGAAAAATGCAGCATTAACATAAATAAATTTAGCATGACTTACAGGCACAATAAAACACATTACTAGATGTCTGCCTTGTGTCAGATTTTGGTGGGAAGCAAGGAATAAATTTAGACTCACTAGAAAACATCCATTAATGCAGAGCAATGCTGCACTCCACAGAGAGCAGCAATGCATCTGAAGGCATTTTCCAAAGGCAGCTACAGCCAAGCACTGCTTGTGTTGGAACCCAGAAATCTGGGATTTTTGAGTTTTCTGTGCGTTCTGGCACTGACCCCCAGGAGAACATTGCTTTTGACCTGTGGCCTTGGAGAAGGCTTCCAAATTTGAGTGATGGAGTTAAAATCACGGGTGTGTAAATAGAAGTGTGTGATTTCACATGGTGAAGGGGTTTAAATTTCAGGTTTTTAGAATACAGTAATAGGTATGGGACAAGATGGACAATTTTGGGTGGTGTTTCCTTTCTGTCTTCTGCTTCCTTCTTCTTCATGATTTCAGGCAGTATTTTCTGGTTGGACAGTTTGTGCTGCACTGAGGGTCACAGCAGTTTAGTTATTGGATCAAAAGTATAAATAATATAAGTGTTATTTCTCTATTGAACTGTTTAGCTTAAAAGAACCTTGTAACTAACTAAATTCACCTTCATTTTGCTGGCTTTTGGCTGGTAGCTAGAAGTGTTGCAAAACTCTCTGTAATTTAGATAAGATTTAATAAACAACCAAGCCCGAACATGAGAAAATTTGTCTCCTTCATGTTTTTAATCCCGACTCTAAGTAGAAACAATCGAAAATAAAGACAAGCCACTAATTAAATAGTGCAAACACCACATTTACACTTGTACCACTCTGCCCTCACTGCCTCAACTCCACTTGTCTGGCCTGTTGTTCCTGCTGCTTCATCCAGGGTGATGTGAACACTCCAGGAATCTGGCCAAATGGGGGATGCTTCTTCCATGGATGAGGTTTCTTCTAAAGGCACAAGCTGCAGCAGTATCACCACACTTAACAGCCCTCAGGATCTTTCTCTCCATGAATTCCCCTTCGTATGACACTACACATTCAAATCACAGCCTGTAACTTGTACTTAGTGGGGCTTTTGTGTGACCTAGTAAATCCTGGACCAATTCACACTAAGATCAGACAAAGCTATATTAACTGATTCAGTCATTATTTTAAATAAAGTGGACACATTTCAATGCTTTACATTCAGCAGACATCTTGCTGTATATTAATAATGCTGACACAGAGTTTATAACTTCTGACAACAGCTAGGGCATATCTCCAGCTTGTTCAATCTAGATAGAAGATGTCAAAGTATGCCAAGGAAAGACTGCAGTGAAGCTTGAGTTTGGTTAACACATTCTGATGTGTGTTTCTAACATGGTCAAATCATTGCTTTAATGCTGTTTGCATGTTGTATTGCCATGAGCTCCACAGAAATATAAAAGAGGAAAAAGAGAAGATACTTATCTGAATACCAAAGATGAAGCTAAAACTTGATCTTGAAGGTTAGCATTAACTGTTTTACTTACAGAAAAAGGTCTGGAAGTATATAATAAAGGTTTAGATCTACACTTCCATGCCAAAACAACATACAAATATGTTGTTCAGACATTATCATTGTCATGCTTTAACCCTAGTGGCAACAAAACATCACACAGCCACTCCCTCCCTCCTCCCCTGCCATGGGGTAGTGAGAAGAACTGGGAAGAAGGTAAAGCCTGGGTTGGGATAAGAGGGCAAGTGATGCCCAACTCCATTGCTCAGTAGCCCCTGACTGATGCCCAGCCTGTTCCTGAGCAGCAGCTGACAGCTCCCAGCTGACAGCTCCTCCCAGTTTACACTGGACATGACATTCTGTGGTGGGGAATATCCCTCTGGCCAGTTGGAATCACTTCTGGCCATGCTCTCTCCCAGTTCCCTGTGCACAGGCTTGCTGGCAGAGCATGGGAAACTGAAAATCCTTGACTTAGGGTAAGCACTACTTAGCAACAGCTGAAACACCAGTGTGTTAGCAACATTATTCTCACACTAAAATCAAAATATAGCCCTGTACCAGCTACTAGAAAGAAAATTAACTCCATCCCTGCTGAAACACTCATGTTTATCAAACTGATCCCTCATAAATAATGGCAAGAGCAGTAAAGAACACTAAGATCTTACATAGAATAAACCAAGGGTCTTGTATCAGGCACTTACAGTTAATTTCAAAATGTTAAGCAAATTTTTACTTTTTGTAGAACCTGCTAATCATTAACATGGAATAAAAATGGAGAATTTTAATTTGAACATAAAATCAATACAAGCTGTGGAAGCGTGCAAGATCTTTCAGAAAGGAAATAAGAGGTGACATATTTATGCTATTTTTTAATAAGCTTCCTCACTTCAGTGCATTTTTAAGCATAGCAATTTGGAACCTGTTAACAAATTATTCAGTATTTGTTCACAGATCTTTATCATTTAAACCTTCTCTAGAATATTAAAAGCTAGTCAAAGCTGACCAAGACAAATTCACATCTGCAGAGAGATATATGCCCGTGAGTATGCATATATATACAATATGTAGAATATGCATAGAAATAAGCCCCCTTGGCATTAAGAAGTCTGTATCTTAAAAGACAGAAAAAAACCCCATAGGAACAAATACTTAAATGGATCTATAATGGAATTTCATTCAGAAGTGAAGATGCAGGCACCAAAATTACACCAGACTGTTTCTACCTATTTCTCTAACATCGTCTTCAAATGAAAAGATAAAGAAGAAAACTTAGGACTCACTCTATCAAAACTATTTTTCCACTTTCCCTAAAATATTACTTAATGTTACTTTGAGGACAACCTCATATACTTTATACCCCATACTGCAGAGCATGTTGTTGCATGACATTTTTATGCCCAGAATACTCCATATCCAAATATTAGGACTTTATTTTTGGCTCTCATATTTGAAATATTAGATTTTTTTTAAAAGAAAAATAACTGTACTGATTTACGCTGAGTAAAGATTTTGGTTTGAGGGGCAACCATTGAGCACTACGATCCGAATTCAAGAAAACATCTTCTATGTAAACAAGTAGCTGGTGTGGAATCTCAAATGCCTCCTGAAATCTCACTGCTGCATGATGCTTGCATTTTTCTACTGTCTCTATGATTTATATTATATGTATGATATTATCTCCACTGTTACCTGCTTTCCACATCCCTCTTTTGATTTTCACCCTCACACTCTTATTATTTGCTTTTTTCAAGACTTTTGAAAATGTTGCTGCCATATCCAATTTCAAGTTGTCTAGGTTAATTCCTGCAAGTATATTCAATTCGTATTTCATTCACCTCCTTCAAATTACTAATGAATATGTCAAACAAGAACTGCTTTTCTTTTATGCTAGTTCATCTTCTAGCTGTTTCTCATTATTGAAATATTATAGTTTGTTAATTTGAATTTTTATGTTTTGACCCATTTTCACACCACATGACAGTTCCTGGATTGAGTGATAATATTTAAAGTGGCTGTTTTAGCAGCAATACATGTGTGTTCCCAAGCTGTCAGATGACACAGATGTTTTAGAATCTGTCTTCAGAAAAGTTGGGAAAACAATATACTCTCTCAGTTTTCTCTATTTTCAACTACAGTAATGATTGGGCTTTTAAAGACAGAAAAAAAAAGCCCAAATCTTCCTGCCTTAGCTGGAATACCAATGCATCTCTGCACGCCAGACAGAACAGATCTGCTACAGCTATTCCACACATACTAAAACCCAGGGAAAAAAACCAACTGGCCAAGTATCTTTGTTCATGAGAAGACTTAATCTGTTTTGGGTAACGAGACTTTTACTGACACTATGACTCATCCTTGTAAACAAACTCTTGCTCTGTGAGCCTCAGCAGAAAAACAGACAGAAAATACATAAAACATGATGGCAAAAACCCTTCCCTCAACAAAAAGATAGTATCTGCAAAGTGAACAAATTCAGTTTTCCATGCATAGTGCATTTAGAATACTTTCTGAATACCTTACAACTGCTAGCACAATTTCAAGTCCAACATAAATCTGCCAATAACTCCAATGATCTAAAACAATTATATTTTACTTGTAACTTTAATGCATAGCCTCAATCAAGTGGTGCATGTAATATTAACAGCTTAGAACAAATTATTAGTGTTAGGATTTGAGATAACTTTTTAAAAATATTCCTTTGAAATAACAAACTTCTAGAAATAACACAAAGCAAAACATATGGTGCAACAGCTAAGTAGCACTGCAATGTTAGATATACAGATGTTTTAATGCAATTACCAGCTGTTTATAGCCTTGAGTTTCAAACACTCACTGGGTTCCATATTCCTGATTTTATCTCATTAGACAACTGCAATGCAAGCATATTGCAACCAATGTTATGAAAAAAATGCTACAGATTTTCATTAAATCTCGTTTTAATTCAGTCTGACTAAAATGGGATTTATTTAGAAGCAGAATATATCTGATAGCTGTACTGAACACCATCATCTAAATGAATAGAAAAGTATTTTTCCTACCTTATAATCGTCTTCATAGTCATTATATCCACAAGTACTTAAGATGTCAGGAAATATATCTGACCATCCATTACTCGTACAATTTTTGCTAATGTTTCCTGTAAAGCAAAATTAGAGAGTTTAAATCAGAAAGATTCAAAACTCTCCTCATCAATGACTTCTTAAACAATCTATTTCATTAGCTGGTCACAACCTAGCTCTTTTTCCTTTATTTCCTAGGACTCAACCCAGCCCTTTCCTTTCATGTGCTTTTCATTCATATTACTTTGGCTTTTACTCTTGCTTGGAGTTGCCTTTGCATTACAGAAAAACAGGAGCAAACCTGGCTTTTCCTTTGGTATAACAGCCAGTTCTGTTACACATCTGCAAAAGCCTAAACTGTTCTGCTGTTTTATTTCAAATACTCAGAAGGGAGCCATAACTTCACTCTGTAAAGGGGCGATTTGTAGGCAAAGCAATTTGAAAGAAAAGTCATTTCAGTGAGAGTTGTTCTAACCTCCTATTTAAGCCTTCTCAGAAGCCAATACCAAGGGATCTACTGAAGAGTTACAAAAGCTCTTAGACATTAAGGTGATGACTTACTGCCACAGCAAATGTTGGTAAGTTTGGTAATGAAGTTTAAGGGCCAAATTAGGTCATAATCTGAAGAATGAGGAATAAAGATGCATGCTGAATTTCACTCTTTGAACCAATACTGAAATGATGTAGTACAGAGAATGTACAGGACGTGTGAAAGTATGGCTGGAAAGGAGTTTCAAACATTTTATAATTACAGAAAGCTTCTGTTTGTACAGAAAAAGTTGAGTCTTTCCAGAGACGAAGTCACATAGATGAGATGGGGGCAACCTATTATTCTACTTCTCAATCTAATTAAAATGAATTAATTTTTTTGCAACATGGAACAACTTCAAGAGAGGAAAACAGAAAAGCCTGATGTCAGACTAGAGAATAGTCATCACATTTATTATAACTTGCTCTTACAATGTTACTTCATAGTCAACTTCCCCTCACATTTCTTAGAGCAATTTGTATATCTATGATACATGAAATCTATAATAATAGATTCCTTTGGTTTGGAGTTCACCACTGGTCTACAATTGACTTAAGATACCTGGTTTTCACCACAGAAAAATAAATGTATGTGTCATAGATCAGTGTTGGTCAAGAATAACCAACCTTGTTTATGTATATGCTCCAAACTAAAGCTTTTGTGATCTTTACTTTGTTGATTCGTTACTGGAATTTCTTCTTTGTATAAAGTCTTCAGTGCAAAGTTGTAAATATCCCATAAATGGTTCACCAGCCAACAACCAAATCTTTCCAGCTAATAAAAAAGCCTTGACCTAAACCCACAGTCTCCTCAAACAACGGGACCACTTTTGCTGTTTGGCATGGAAATGACATTTTTAAAAGAAAATGTAACCTATTTATACACTGTGAAGAGTCTTCACTTTAAAAGTACATCAAGATTCTCTGACTAGGCAGAGCAGAGGAATGTGTTAACAGAACCACAAATTGCGTCAAAGCCAGTTTTGCAAGAAAAAACTCAATGTACTCAAGATGCTGAGCTATTTTCTACTTCAAATACTTCAATACCTTCTAACCTAAAGAGAGTTGGACAATGTTCTAGAAAGGCAATGTTTATTTCTACACCATCTTTTCATGCAATTAAATATTTCAGATGGCAACCTTATTTAAAACCCATAACTTGACACATACATTTGAATAAAAACTTTACAGAATAACATCCTGACACTCATAAACTTGTACAATTCAGGAAAAACATTATAGGATAGTAGGATTGCTTTTACAGTAAAAATTATTTTAATCAAAAGTTACTAAATACAATACAGAATTAATCATGTGGGATGCTTAAACTATAACATAGAGCACCACAGAAAAAATTTAGAGCCAGCACTCCAAAAGTTCTAAAGATGAGAAGACAACTACTTTTTAAAATTCACAATTTAAATTGGGAAATCCTTTAAGGAATTGATGGTATTTAAAAGCCGACTTCTGGTTTGGAATATTTGCATAAAAATAAGGTAGTCTAGACCATCTTTTAGTAGAATTTTAACTCCTCTTAAACACCAAAAGCTAAAACATACATCTCACAAGTCTGGCTAAATAAAAAGAGCTAATTTCTCGTTTGAAGGTTTGTTCATAATTTTCCGCTATAAGAATGAAGTTAATTTGTAATGTGCTGTGCATGAATTAAATAAATTACATATTCCTGAGCATAATCAACTTATGAAAATACCAAGACGCTTAGTTAGCTCTTAATTGAATCAACCATGCAAAATGTTTGTTGTCTTCCTTTTCTGAAATGATAGAAAGACCAGGTTTAAAAGACACTCTTAATTGAACAGGAACCTCTAAAAATCAACCCTGTTAGTTCCACAAGCAGGAAGTAAACAGGTGGCTACGGAAAAAAGCTGGATCTGGGAAAATGGTAGCAAACTATAAAATGAAGTAATCTTTCAGTCTTGCTGACACCATGGTGAAGTGAGATAGGGTTGTAATGCACTGTGAAGGTTTCAGACTTCAGTATTTATTGCAGCTGTTTTATAGTAAAATTAAAAAGTTGTTGTAATATAACTAAAGTTTATGAAATAAACTCCAGAGACAGTGTACATGCCCATGCTTTTGGCAAATAGACAGAAGCAGCATGATTTAATTCAGATTTTGAATTTTTGATATTTGTTTGCTTTGTCTCATGACAACAATTTATTATCTTTGTTCGAGTAATTTGAAAACTTTTATAGATTTCACAACATTTAGCAACGATTACACATACTTTCCCCTTTACAAATTGTTTAGACTATTTGTGATAAACTAATCAAGATTCACCAGTTCCAGGAATGAAAACCTTTGCTCATCTGTAGATTGTTTTACTTATCTATTTTTTACTGGAACAAGATTTATTCAACCGTTTTGAGTCTAAAGGTATTTTAGTCATACCCCAACTTAACCTTTAAGTTAAAATTAATATTGTTAAATCTCTCTACAGAGACACCACCCCCCCCGTCCCCCCAAAAAGAGTTACATAACCATGTTAAGTTTTTCATCTTTCACCAGCTCTTCACGACAATGGCTTCCCACCTGAGAAATGGGGATAAGATTTTTCCTGCAGCATTTTCAGATACATGTGAAATACTCTGTGCTCATCATCTATTTTCCAAACCCCACTTACATGCCACAGGGCAAAATATGATGTATTGACAAGATGGTGCAGAAGGTGGGAGACTTAAACCAGCTCATTGTTTCAGAAGTCTGAGACATTGATTAGCTCTTTTCTAGTTCCATTAAAAAGCAGAATAAAAGGTTTCATAATAACTACCTTAAATTGCAATAGCAGTAATTTTTAGGTATTATCTGTTAATGTGGGCTCTTTATTCTCATGATGGCAAGGCAGAGCTCCCCTCCTGAGACACAGAAGGAACAACCTACATGTGACCTGCTGGCAACTGTTAGAGATGTCAGTCAGGCTCAGCTGCCTTAATAATTAACAAAATAGGTCAAAAAAGAGCAAGCAATGACAGCAGTTTTAGTGAGTGTCACTGTATCAGAAAATGTATTTAGTATCTAAGTGAAAGAACACCAAACAGAACACAAAGATGATAATTTGGTCTTTTAATGGTGTATCCTGAACAGTTCTGACAAGAATTTTTAATCTATAAAGAAAATTAAAACCCCCAAATAAACAATTTTCAGCACATTATGTTACAGAATACCAGAGAGAAGCCAGTAAAAACACATCTTAAAATAAAATACCTGGTTTGCCAGAAAAAAGGCTAAATACTTTTGGACAAGGGACAGTGACAGTCTCTCCAATCTTCGCAGGACGCCAACAGGTGATGTTATCCCAAACTCCAACACATCCTGAAACAAAACCAGAGATAACAGACTTGAAAGCTGGGCTTACCTAATAAAGACCTGGTGAAAGCTTTGGACAAGCAGTTCAAAAAATATTAGACTCCTTCAAGAAAGCTGCAAAGATGATTATTTTCTATGAAAACTTTAAAGGAATCATAGGAGTCCACCGACTAACCAGCCAATTTTTAGGTCAGTTAATACATTGTTTTCAAAATGTTTCATTAAAACAATGTCATTGGATATCGATATGGATTATTAAGAACTGCAACATTTTCAGAATTTCCTAATCACAGTTAAAATGGAATTTTCTATCAAGCAGATTGAACATCACAAATAAATACATAAGTAGGTCATTGGACTCAGTACCACATAAGATAGGAATGCATTATGATTGCAGAGTTTGGAACAATAGGCATGGACTTACAGAATAATATCTCAAACTAAATAACAGACAATTGAACAAAGAATGCTTCTATATATTCGTTTCAGGAAGGTGAGGGGGCCTTCAAATTTCACAGGCATATTTTATAGTGGCAGTAAATGCTTGTTACAACTAGAGAGTAACTTGCTACAGCTTTGTACATGTTGATATTCATTTTAATGTGGCTCAAAGGCTGTATTGTGTGAATGAGTGTAAATCTTCCTACAGCTGCTATAGGCACTTGGCTCAATCACACCCTGTTTAGAGGTGTCTGTTTATAATGCAAATCTTCTAAGCTAAGCAAAGAGCAATGAAAGTTTGTCAACACAAGCCTTGTGAGGACAAAGAAGTAAGGAAATGTTACTCATCTCAGTTCAAGCTTTTTAGAAAAAAAAGGAATCATGCAAAATTCTAGGCATTTATGTCTTCAGATAAGAAAATTAAAATTTTAAATTTATAATTAATGGTAAAGACAGAAATCAAACTATTATCCCACTGGTGTTATCTCCATAAGACTATTCGCAGTATAAGGGACAGTTTGTTCCTTTCAGAAGAGAACATAAAACTTGGACTGGGAACTGCTCACAGCCATATTATTCCTCAGAATATTTATAGTATTAGCAATTCATTATTAATTTATTCTGTACTGGTGAGATCATGCCCAAAATCAAGCCACACGAGTTAAACGAAACTTGAAAAAGAATATTTAGAAGTTCTATATTTGTATAAAAACTTTTTAGTGCAATTAGACTTTGACAGCTTGTGTTGACTTAAAATATGCAGCATCCTGCTCTCAAAGTTTAAGTTACTTTCAAAGCACACGTAAACTAGGGAACCAAAGAATGTGTTACAGGACCAGCAGCTGGATTTGCCCCAGGGCTGTGTCCTAGCTGCAGCACGAAGGAAAGCCAGTGGCACAGTGTTCCCATGGGCCGTGCTTTCCTTTGGGAACACCCATCCAAGTGTGATAGCTGGGAGGAAGCCTCTGTGTGGTACCAAGAACAAGGTTTGGAGATGATAAATGAAGATGAGAGGAGGATTATGGGGAAAATTCTGCATTTGTTCATCAATTCCACAGAGCCCTCTTTATACAGTTTCCCAAAGAAGTGCAATTCTCCAGAGGATTCACTTGCTTTGGGGATTGGGACTTTCTTCACTCCTCTTAGGACTGTACAGTTCTAAATGCAGCATCTGTTCTACATTCAGAAAGATGATGCCAAAAATAAGGGTTTACTAAAGGGAACATTTCACAAAGTTTATCTCTGTGTGTAGATAACGTAATTCCTTATCCTCCACTGCCCTGCATGCTGCATCAGCCTCTCCTGGCACTACCAACAGTATCCCTGAGAGATCTCTGATGGTGGCTTGGCCATCTGTCACAATTTCAGAGGTTTACACTGAGCAGATCACCTTCATAGCCTTAGAAATGGAATTTCAACATGCTTAGGTGCTTCCTGAGCTGCAGTTCTGGGTCAAAATCAACCCCAAATCTCTATGATGCAGCACCAGGGATTACACAAAGTAAGGGAATGTTTACCTGAACCAATTCAGGTCATGCTTCCTTCCCAATTGATTTTAAGCCAAAACCAACATCAACAACATGACATATAAGTAATCAGGAAGACAAAGAAACTGTTTTCTTCATCTGCCAGCACTCAGAACTACAGTGACAAAATGAAACTCTTTTGGCTTTGATTGATGCACTGCCTGAGCCAGCATAAACAAGCCCTGGAGTACACAAGAATAATTATCATCTTGTAAGACCTCAGACGTTTTTATTTCAACCCCATTTCCACTAAGAGTGAGAGCTGAGATGAGTCATGAAGCTGTTCATGCACACCCATGGAAGCTGATGACTTTCTCAAAATTTCCCTTTTGTTTAATCCACTCTCTGTGAAATGGTGGGATTGTTACAGTAATCTGCCAACAGCTCAGAGGCTTTTATACATTTTTTCCTATGCTGCTGTATATTGATTGGGCTAAAGTTTTGCCAAACCAGCAGCTGAACAGCATGGGCTTCAGAGCTCCATTGTTATGTTTTCCACAGAAAAATAATAATAAAAAAAATCTTTAAAATCTTGTTCAAGCCTCAATTGCATGGAATACTATACAGAAAAACTGAGGTTCAAGTCCTATTCCTACTAAAATTATTCAACGCAATTTGTATCAAATCTCAAAGCTTGTTGGAAGGAACTCAGTGTACAAGTTTTTGATGTTCAAAACATCACAAATCACTAATGGTTTCTGGGGAATACATATTTTTCTTTTTTGTTCTCCTCAGTACTTTAGGACTTTACAGGCATCTATGGCCCAGGAGAGAATGATACTGTTTCAGATTCCTTAAATCAAATGGATGAAGTAACACCAAAGACGTATTTCCTACATGTAGACTACATTCAAAAGCATCACAAACCATGTGAGTGAAAACTGAAGTGGCTGCCACCAGAACTCCAAGAATATTAACCCTCAATTTATGTATATCTACAGGCTTATTGATAATGGTATAGGACATCTGAGAAATCTGCTGAAATGTCCTGGAGGCATTAATAGTCACTGAATGACTACAGTGGGCATCTGAAGACTGGTCTAGTCTGAATGCTGAAATGGTATTACTGGTGTAACTAATTCTGGAATTACAACTGTTAAACAACAATTCACCTTCTGGGCTTCCAAATCACACCTTTCCTCAATCCCCTCTTCTTCCAATTACTACAGACTTTAAACAATATTGCATTCATGGATCTTCTTTTTCTCTTTGGAAATCACACCCTTATGCAGAGGTGGATACAATTAACGTAACTTCATCCTAAAACACATGTAATTAGGCCAGGTTAATTGCTCCCAACGATTGCCTATTTCTTTCCAGCAACCACAAAGCAGTCCATGGTACCTTAAAGACCACTCTGTTGGGAAGTGAAGGTGTGGTAATGCTACATTAAATGTTTCTGCTTCTCTGCATCGAATATCTAACTTGATCAAACTTAGTATTCTCCTCTCTACTCACTGTCTACAACTCTCTGTCCAGCCATTAATTCAATCAGTGTTAGGATTTCTGGACTGTTATCCATCAGTGCAGCACAAATAAAATCATTATCTAAAGTATAGTTTTTTGGAAATTTTACCCATCTCTCACATCATACATAAGCCTGCTTCTTAATATCTCTGAAGGATATTAATCAAGTAAGATAAAAAATATTCATATTTTTAGATTTAAATAAGGTTTTACATTTTAGTTCTAGTAACAATTTTACCAGTAAAATTACACTTTCTATAGCTAGCTTTCTATTTCTTTCTGTAGCTCACTTTTAAGGCAAAACTGTAATTCCTCCAATGTTTATTGCATATAATGTCTATAATTTTTATTTATAATATTTAAAAAATATTATAAGTACCCAGATGTACTTTAATGTGAATCTTTTTTTCCCCTTTATTATTGGATTTAGTCTCTACATTTGCACTGTGCTTCAATAAATTCTCAAGCATTGAGTCTTTTTGTCCTTTCAGTTTGATATGTACACATAAAAAGTCAGTCCATCTTAGATATGTTAGCTCCTCAAAATTTCCAGCATGTCTACTACTATATTTAGTTTCTTCTTTAACTACTGGGCTGATTCTGGCTGGGATAGAATTAGTTTTCTTCACAGTTGCTAATATGGGGCTGTGTTTTTGATTTGTTCTGAACAGTGGGTTTTTGCTTTCCCTATTAAACTGCCCTTATCCCAATGCAAGAACTTTCCAACTTTTACCTTCCCAATTCTCTCCCTGACCCTACAGGTGGGGGAGTGAGGAGTGTCTGTGCAGGGCTGGGCTGATCTCTGGGGTTAAGCCATTAACAAGTGCTAATAAAACTAGCAAAGACAAAAACAAGGAAGGTTCTTCATCCCTGATTCTGTGGTGTCTGGTAGAACACTCCTGCAACCTGCACAGAACAATCCCTTTCCAATCTCATCATTTGCACCATACATTTCTCTCGTGTGTCATCCACAGGATCTCCAAGGAAACAACCAAACTTCCCCAAAAATCTCAGTGACTCGTTCAAAAGTCTCTTCTACTGATCCCCTCCTGTTCGTCCAGAGGATACTGCAGATGATATTGTTAGCTGCTTCCAGTGAGATCACTTACTTTATTTGAATGTTTGGTCTTTAATTCTTGTCATGCATTTACAGATAGTTCATAATAAAAGGAAACAGACTATAAACTACATTTTGTTTCCCATGTTCTTCAGTTTACATAAGCACTGCCACCCCATTCATCATCTTGCTTTTTGAGATCCAGTCTTTGAGCAACAAGTTCACTTACCTATTTGTGCTTCTTCGCCTATAAAAACCTGAAACACTGGGGCTTGTGCAGGAAAATTTTGTTTATAGACACATTTCATAAATATATAACCACTAGGTGGCACTTTGTATTTGGATTTTAAAATTGTCACTTCCAAGAGTGGTTTAGCATTTTTTAAAACAGTTTAGGCATGCATAAAACATGAAAAAACAACAGAGTGCTTTGAAAACAAGTCAGAAAGTCGACAGCTAGCCTAGGGTTTATTTTTCAGTGTTTTGAGTTTTGTACTTAACTTGGCAGAGCAGGA